TATGTTACAGTTTTTTCATTAAAATCCACCAGCAATAGATCACTAGGGAAACAGACAAAATGCGCCTCCTGACCCACAACGTCAGAACAGGAGAGCGGGGCGCTCACCTGGGCTCGGCGGGCTCGGGCCCCCGCGGGGCCAGCAGCAGCACACCCTCCTGCTTCTCGTGCACGACCGGGCCCTGCGGCGGGGAGACGGGCTCGTAGGGATCCGAAGAGATGTGACTCCTCTCTGGGGACTTCCCAGGCCTGAGGCTGGAACACAGAAAACATGAGACCGCATCCCCAGGGCTCCCCACGGCCAACCCCAAACAGAAACCAATTAACTCATCACTTGGTCGGCCGCGTGCATCGGAGCAAAGCCACCTCAGACACTCCCCAGCCCCGAGTATCAAAAGAAAAGGTCTGTTACTGTTGCTTTGTCCACGCCTGCCTGCAGACTCGGGAGTCGCGTGGCAAACACTGCCAGGGACAGGCCCAGCCCACAGCAGGTGGCCAGCCCTCCCCTGGGCCACCTACTCCAGGAAGCCCTCGAGTGTTTTCCTGCTGATTTTGAGCGAGGACTGACCAAGTACTTCCCCAGTAAGTTAGGAGATAAAGGACCTGAGGACCAAACGGAAACCTGTCAGGTGTCAGGTGACCTGCTTTTATTCCTATCACAGTTCAGTATAACTACACATACTATGTGTCATTTGCTCCCCAGTAAGCCCCATCCAGTTCTCAGGTGGCCATTTTTGGCCATTTTTCCTTTAGTTCTTTGGTGGTTCCCGCAAACTGACCTGAATAATCCATCTCACCCCTTTCTTGATTTCTCAAACTTGAAGCCAGACCATCAGTTCCCTTCGTGGACGAGGGAAACTGCCTGGCTTCTCCATGTTGTTGCGCGGTTTATTTTAACCTCTCGTTTGTCCACAGAGCATCCTCAGCCATCTTCATGTGATTTCTGTTCTAGAACTCTAGGAAAGTGCTTCTGTGTTTTGTTCACAGATTGAAAAGTCAGTTGATGGTGTCTGAACACCACTATCGATTGTGTGAACATTTTAAACTGTAAAACCAGGTAATATGACTAAAACCAGTGAAAGCAATGTAGCATTCCTCACTGAGATGCACAGGTGTGGCGGTGCAGAAACTACAAGTGAAAAAGTCCAACGGACTTTCTTTGCATCAGTGCCATCAGTCGCTCAGAACCTCCGGCCTGTGCTTCGACGGCTCAGCCACACAGCCAGCTCTCTCTCCGCCTCCGGTAACCGGGCTCTTTGTCGTTGCTGGTAAAAGACAATGTGTTTTCATCTCATCCTTAAGATCATCCAGCTTCCTGAAATTATGATGGCCGAGATTCGCTTCAAAATAATCCAGTTAGAGGGTGGGGCGAAGGGGCTACAAAGAAACAGAACTGGCCCCGAGTTGATGAGACCGGGCTGCAGCCGGGCACTGGTGTGTTTGCAAAATCCCACAGTAAAGTTTGTGTTTTCTCCCTCAGATGAGCACCATTTGGCTTCTTAAATGCACTGTTCTTTCTTCTTTATGTTCTTTGCTAACTGAGGGGCTGGTACGAGGCTGGAGAACCACCGCGGCTGCAAACGCCCCTTCCCGTGCTCTGAGTTAACGGCTTCACTGCCTGGCGCCTCCATCCACCGTGACCTCCATGTGTTCGCCAGTCTCTGACCTGCTGGTCCCCTCTCTTGTTCTCAGCACTGTTTGCATTTTAGGAATGTCTGTGCTGCTCTGTCAGTTAACACATGCCAACAGTCAGGCTACCACCCTCAGCAACCCTGCATTCAGCTTTTTAAAACCCAAGCACGGAGCACGAGGAAAGAGGATACACACTTCCCCAGGCGGCCCTGCCGCACAAGGCCTGCTTCCTCTCTCCTGGCCTCGCTTTCGTGATTTAGTATCAGGTTCCTAAACATGCCAACATTTTTATGATTCCCAAGAACCACACAAAGTGTCCCTACGCCACCACCAAACGCCAGTCTCCAAAACTGTCTCTGCAAACTCACAACGGGGGGGGGGGGGCGGTCAGGTTTTCCACACGTTCTAGGACATGGCACCAACCGCCCAGACCGTGGACATTCCACGAATAATGTGCAAAGGAAAACCCTCACTGACACCGTCCAGGGAGGAGGGGTGAAGAAACTCAGGTATAAGAAACGGCTTGAAATACAGACCATACCTGCCCCTCGACTTGTCCACGAGGTTCTCTGGAGAGACCCGTGAACCTGGTCTTTGATGGTGAGCAGACTGGGACTGGGATTCTGGGCTGTAACGGTTTGACGCTTTAGTCCTCACAGGTGTTGACACTAGTGCAGACGGTGAGTTCTGGAATGTGGAGGTGGGGGGCTGCTGGGGAGGCTGCGAGGAAACTTGATTTCTAGCAAAATCTTGTGTGATAATTTGCTGTGAATAAGAAAAGAAGGAAATGGTTAAATCTACCGAGTAGCTGCAGAAAAAGTACAACATACAAAGTCTGGACATCCCTGTTGTGACTGCGTGATACGTGCCTTCTGCACGACCCGAAACAGAGACAAGCGCGGGGGGACACTCACGCAGATGTGGTCGGCGAGTGTGATGAGTCGGTGTGTCCGGGGCACCTGCCCCACCCCCTCGGCCTGGGAAGACGGGGGCGGCTGCTGTGGGGACGGCGATCCCTGCTGCGGGCGGTAGTGGTGTGATGGTCCTTCGTACTGTCTGGTGGCTTCGCCTAACACAGGACAGACAGACAGACATCTTACTCCAGGAGGGCCCCGCCTCCTGCTCATCAGCAAAGATTAACATAATTCATCTCTTAATTTTGAGGAAAAAATATGTATTCACTGACAAAAACAAGAAGGCTAGCACAGAATAAAGTGTGAGAGAACGGGTGTGCACACACAACCCCTGTCTGCTGCTTGCTGCATCACTGAAATACACACAGACGCAATCAACGGTGGTTTAAAGCCAGTTTTCCATTTCTGCAGTTTTAAATGTTTCTGGACTCATACAAGTTTCCTCTCAAACAAAAGCAGCGATTTCCGTACACGGTCTGGACACACAGCGAGGGTGGAGGCGGGGGCACCCACCTTCTGGCTGGCTGGCCCTCCCCCGCTCGGGCGGGCAGCCCTGCAGCCCCTCGGGCGGCGGCGCGGGGGAGCTGGCCGGGCTTATCACCTCGATGGCGTCGCTCGGGGCTTCATACCGGTGAGAAGACACTTTAAGAAAAGAAAGAATCTTATTTTAAAACTAATCCTATGAAAAGCTTTAAAAGTCCGAGCTCTTCAAATCTATTTGCTTCTCTTCATTTCTTATTCCGAGAAGCGTCCGGTGGCACCTGGGGTGGAGGACAACAAACAGCTCAGGGAACGTGTCAGGGGCCAGCCAGCACCACCTCGGGGCTCCTGAGCTGGGCACCGGGGCGCGCGGAGCGAATGCGCTTCCCTGGGCTCTGAGACCGTTAGGTGAGGCGGAATAGAAACAGGTCTGCAACGTTCTCCTGGGAGCTGGAAAAGAAAAGCACCAGGAAACACTCCTCAGAAGAGGCCAAACACCCAAGAGCGTAGATCAACAGTGTGTTGTCTCCAGTCACTTCAGCCCTGTGCGCAGCCAGCTCCTCCTCAGCGCGGGGACTCGGAAGCTGCGGGTGAAGTAACATCACGTAACGATGCTCACAGAGCACCGAGGACTGCAGTCAGAGCAACCCGAGCCAGTCAGCGCCTGGCATGCTGCGAGAAGCACGAGCGGGGGGGCGATGTGAAGGGGGGCAGG